ATAGGCAAACCCCCCCCCCCCCCCAAGTCATCTCAAACGAAATCAAAACGTAATTATAATTTTAAAAACTAAACCCAATTTATTGATTACTAAAACCAAACTAATTATTAAACCCAATATACAGATCATAAAAACCTCCAAATTCCATATCATTTATATTTTAAACAATATCCTCTATTAACGAAATAAGCAACTACTACGACCCAAAAAACCCCCCCCCAGCCTAATCAGACAAGGTTTCCAACTTTTATACATCCAAGTTAAACTTTATATCGGATAACATAGTATTAAAAGTTATCTGGCATCACAAAATAACATCTTTACCGAATAACGAATATGTTTTTCGCTAAGTTATTGTGTCAAATATTTACTTTACATAGTAAAACATACTAACCCATACGAAACTCCTTCACCTATTTATATGTTATTTGATAGACAATGTTTTATCATATAAATTAACTCTTATCCAAGACATCCCACCTATTCAGCAGACTGGTTGCCTAAGATTACAACACATATAGCAAGTAACATATGCCTGACCACTTTAATAATCACGTACCCTAACTATCGGGTCCGGCATCTCAAGTTACTGAAACACTGAATGCAATAACATTATTAATAATAGTGTTATCCGCTAAGTAATCTTATGTGAACATACAACGATAAATTCGAAAGAAACTAAAAGTTCACATCAGCACAGATTCGCAACAACATAAACATGCTTTTAGTGTTCAGTCCGGCTATTCAACCCTAGCCAGAATAATAGCAGACACAAACTTATTAATTTCCGGTTCAGGGTTCCCAACGTCAACTTCGGAGCACTCATCTAAACCCCCAGTGTCATGCACATGAATTAGGAATATTGCCATAATCCCTGAATCAGTAGCAGAAGTAACCAGGGGTACACATAGCGGCCTCTCAATATTTAGTGGAACTATCCGCACCAAGCTATTTCCCTGCTGCTGGAACGCTTGATTCAAAAGAAACGGCAGCATCACGGCGACTGGTTGTATCTCACGCGTGATTGTGTGATCCGTACGGAGCGTTGCATTGCAGTCCAGGACAGTGATTACTTTGCTGCAGAAGGTATATTTTAGCCTTCACACCCCTTTTAGGTTTCTTGGGGGTTACCTGCAGCTGGGAGGGGATGCAGCCACCACCAAACATATCGTCCTTAAAAAAAACCCTGTAGCCGCAAGGGAGACAATGTTAATTACCGCGGGATCTTCTCCTTCATCATCCCATGACAAATCTTCAGCCGGGTCAAGCTCAGCATCAGGACAAATAATCAGATCCACCAGTATCTGAAACACACATATTACACATCTAAATTAGTGATTAAATTTTGGTGAATCCGATATCTACATACAAATCAAGTAACTTAAATCTTATCCCCAGCGGAAATCTTCAGCGGAACCGAGTGCCTAGTACAAACATCGGTAGATGGTTCTTCCTCAGAATCACTCCGAACAGGTTCTTCTAATGGAGAACCTTCTTGAATTGATGGCGCAGCCAGTAGTATAACTAACTGGAGGGCATATAATAGCCCCTGGACAGCCACGCACGTTGTAGCCAATTGCTCCACCTCCCTTTCTTTTATCGACTTCATCATCATCTTGAATGATACATGACCCCACGGATATGCAATGAAGAAAAAGAGATCCTCTGACATTTCAGCATGCTCTTTAAGTATTTTGGGATAATGGGACGTGGGGACCAAAAATCCATCTACAATAGCCAAACAGATGTAACGGCGCCTAGTGTCCTCATCATCGACAACTTTCGATTTCAGCATCTTGATAACCCTCTCAACAGTGACATCTTCTTCCTAACCAAACAACGTGCTGTAGAAAGGAATTTTCTTACCGGCAGTACCCTTTCTCTTCTTCTTCTGCTTATCCTGATACTTACCACAACATAATCCGGTGACAATCTTGAATTCCCTCAAAGAGAATCGAACAGGCGTACCGGCGTATTCAACCCATATCTCGTTGGACTTTGCGACATCGAGTTGCCTGGAGAGAAGAAACAACCTAAACGACGCAAATCAGGCAGGTTTGGAGGGAAACTCAAGCAACCGTCCAAAGGGCGTATTAGCTACCACGCTCGCTCGTCCTCATCTAAGGCATCAATTATAAGATTCAAGGTCTTCATTTTGTGGTACACATTCACCCTCTCCCCCATCAATTAGTCGATTCGGCAGATCTAGGTCACACATCTGCAAAATCATCGAAAGGGAACATATCAGCATCAAAATACAATTACCACAAAACCTAGCACTCTCTTCTTCATAACAATTGAGAAATACCTTCGCCGCAAATAGCCTCAGGACGCGAGTACGTTATGGAATCAAGTTCGTCTTTATATCTTTCCAAAGATATAATTTATATCTTTCCAAAGATATAAACATAAAACCTTGAACCCAGTCGGTAATGGTGCCTTTAATTATAGCCACCAAGAGACGCGACAGTAGAGAAAAATAAGCCATTTCAGTTTTTGGTTTTAATTTTTCGGGACAAAAAAAATCGAGACAAATCTTGAATGGAGAAGAAGGGAGAATTATTGCCTATATTCTGAATCTACGCCATAGGGTTAAAAACGTCCGGAAAAAGTTGATCTAAATAAGAAATTTGCAGGGCTATATAATGAATAAAAACATCAGCTATGGCCATCCTTTGCAATTTCCCATATATATACATATATATATATCTCAAATTAATCATACTTCATATATAAAAATAAATATTAGAATTTGATACAAGATGAAAACTTTTACAGCTTGGTAGTTACTAAATAAATGTATTTTGTTCATTATAAATTTGAATATCATACTCAATCATTTTATAATACAAAATCACAAAATTTATATACAAAATTAAAAAAAATTGGCTCGTCGTGTACCAAGGGTAAATGATGTATAACATAAATACCAAATCTTATTAAGCAATATAAATGATGAATCAAAAAAAAGAAATTACCAGCTCTAGAAAAAATCTTACAGTTGGGCAGTATTAATACATTTTGTATTCTATTCATATATTTATTTTTGCAAATATGAGTTTAATTATAGTGCATTTTAAAAAAACGCATACATATAGTTTTTTTCAGGGAATCTACAACTCATGCATTGGTTGACCGATTAATTAAGTAGACCGACCTCTTCTTTTAAAAGTTAGCTCTCAAAATTGCTTTCAACTTTAGCCCTATATACCTCTTAGTCTGTAGGCTTTTAATTGCCCAGATAAATCAGAAAAAATATTTAGGATGGATTTCATCCTGTCTTGGGAAAATAAAAAAGAAGATAAGTGGTTCGACAATTGAATCGTCGCCTCCCTTGGTTTATAAATCACTGGTCGTATTTTTTGGGCGATATATTAGGTTTACAAACCTTCTCCCTCTGTTTTTTGGAAGATTGGATCCGGAAATCAAAAGCCGGTGTTTTTTTACGTTTCTTCTCAATCCAGAATTCCGGTGCCGTTCTTCATCTAACCTTCTTATCATTACAACTTGTATCCGATACGTTCACAGTGAGTATCTTTCGCGAATCGTATTTGGTTTTCTTTTTGTTATAGATTTTCTTTTATTTCTGTTTGTTAATGTTTTTCTTATTTTCCTAGATGACGGATCTGAAATTACCTAATCGGATAATCGCATATGGCGAAGAAGCGCTGGGCGAAAGAGTCAATGTTTATCACAAGATGAAAACCCTTTCTTTGATTATCGATGCGTTGGATGATAAGGAGAGAGATTGGATCAGATCGACTTCATTTGGGTACCTCATGGATTTGCCCAACAAACCTGCCTGGACCGCGTCGTTTGGGATTTTCCTGTTACCCAGGCAGCTTGAAGTGGCCAAGCCTCATGAAATTTGGGTCGTTTTCGCCGGGACTCCCGTTCGTTTCTCCCTCCACGAGTTCAAAATTGTGACTGGGCTTCCATGTGGGAGGTTTCCCAATATGCAGAAGCGAAAACGAAAAGGAATGGCGGGGAAGAAAATTCCATACTACAATACTCTGTTTGAATTAGAAGAAGATGTCACTGTAGATCGGGTAATCACAATGCTCAAGAAGAGGCATGTCACAGATAAGGAAATCCGTCAAAGATTCGCATGTCTTGCTATAGTTGATGGATTCCTGATTCGTACTTCCCACTACCCCAAAATTGTCAAAAAAACACACGGAGATGTGTGAGGATCTCCATTTCTTTCTAGCATATCCTTGGGGGCGGTTGTCCTTTGAGATGATGATGAAGTCTATCAAAGATAGGGATGTTGTGCAATTAGCAACGACTTGTGTCGCCGTTCAGGGGATTTTTTACGCATTACAACTCGTGATCCTTCAAGCTGCATCCGCTATACAAGAAGGGTCACCGGCGGAAGAACCGCCGTGTAGTGATTCTGAGGAAGAGCCGGCTGCCAGGGTTGGGACACGTAGTTATGTGCCTCTTAAAATAGCAAACGCTAAACGACTGGACGGTAACCGCGAGGTTATTTTCTAATCTTAAGGTTATCAATTATTTGATCTATTGATTGATAACAAAATAATTATCTATTTTTTCCCTTATCATTTCTAACGTATTATTTATCCCCTATTTTTTAAATCCCAGATATTGGTTGACCCTATTATATTCCCGGAACTTGATATGGATCCTAATGAGGATTTGACCTCGGACGATGACTGTGACGATGTTGATGTCGACAATATTGTGTCTCTTGCTGAGTCTGGCCTTTTATTTAACAATGAAATGTTCCATACCATCCCAGTTGGAGTTGGCACCTAAGAAGCAGAAAAGAGGAGTGTTGGCCAAAATAACTCGTGCCAGGAAAGCTCAAAAAGCTCCCCCTAGACAATCAGTGAAAAACAGAGACCCTTCACCGGCTGTTCCTGAACCTTAGCGTAAGTCAGGTACATGCAATCTTGTTACTCTCTCTCTTGGCTTTTGGGCTCTAAACTAGCCTCAATGGAGGCCCATATCATCAAGGGTGTAACTGAGTCGGTTCTATGCCTAAAAACCCTGATGGCAGAGATGGTGGTTCATCGGACGATCAGAGAACTAATTCTCCTCCTCAAACATCTCCCATAGACCGCTTTGATGGTCCGAGGTTTCCAGAATCAACTGATCTGATGGATGTCGATCATTCCCTTCGCAATGGCGTTGATCACTCTATTGCTGATATTCTTTTGCATTATCCAGCCAAGATTTTAGCGGTCAGTTTCCCATCCCTTGAATTAGTTGGTGGACGGTAATTTTTACTGTGATGGATGTTTCCATATGTGACATGTATGAGAACCTCATGCAGGGTAATTGTGGGAGTGTGGAACCAGCAACCGTTGTTGGGCTTGACCAGTTTAGTTGTTTACGAACATATGAGATGCAGTAAATTATTAGTGGATAATTCCAAAATTATCCGATAAAAATTTAGTTATTTGGCACATTACTCTGCTTCAGGGGATATCAAGTGGCGGGGTTGAAGTAAGTGGTATCGTCTCCCCTCGTGAGGGACAAAGGATTGAGGTCGCAGAAAATCCCCCCTTGGTTGTTGAGGATGAGGAAGGCCATATCAAACCAGTACACGTTCTTACCCATTCTAGATGTTCCCCCACAATTTTTTTTCGTTTTGCTCAAAAAATATTCTGCTTTATATTCTCCCAGGTTCCTCTGGAAGGATTTGATATGAATTCTGCCATTGTTGACGAAGTTGGATTAGCTGATACCCATGATGTTAGTTGGTTTTTCCTTCTAATTGCGCATCTTTCCTATTTATGTAATTTGATTCTCCTAATAGTTGACGTGGGCGTTCTCAGCAGTTTACAGACGGTGGAGGGCTTGGAGAGACTGGCGACGTCGGAAGAAGCATTGATCTGCCGGTAAGTTCTAAAGACAAAATGTGAATTTTAACGAATTCCCCTTCTTTTACTATTACCTGTTTTTTAATTTGTTATCAAAACTCTCATGTGATGTCTTTTTAGGTCTGCGCGGGTAAATCATCCGGAGAAGTTCTTGGGGGGAACTGTGTTTCCAACACTAATATTGTTAAGGTTAGTTAATTCATTAACACTTCTTGGTGAAGCATTGAGTATGGATTAGTCTTGGTATGGAATTGATTATCTAATTGGGGGTAACATCGATTGTTTTAATAAGTATGTATGTTCAGGTTCCAGTTTAATTTGTTTTTCATTTTCTAGTCTATACTTAAACAATTATTGTTTTTATGACAGTGTTTTTCATGTTTTCCAGGTTGTTGATCAGTCAGGTCTTGGAGTAATCCAAACAGATAGCACTGTGAAATACCCTCTTCCCGTAGCAGAGGCAGAGCGGGTTAGTGGTTTTATCTTTATCTCTCTGTTTAATGCGTAGAATACATTAATTAATTATATGTATTCTCCCTTGCAGAGGTTGGAGGACACAGCTGTAACCGGTATTGGGTCCGGTAGTAAAGATCTTAATAACCCCATGGTTAGTTGATAAGAGTAGAAATATTCGGTATTCTTGTTAGACGTTGGATCAGATTAGCAAGGATTGTTTAGCAAGGATTTATTGTTTGGCAAGAGTAGAAATATTTGTATTGTTTGGCAAGGATTTATTTATGTTTTGGACGTTTTGAATCTCGGCAACTGATTTTAGCATAGGAAACTATATTTTTAGAAGCTTTGTTGTTATAAATATCAGATATCTGTCATTTAGGCTGATATAATAATTAATAGCGGATATTTTCTTACACTTTGCGTCAATCTTTTTGTGATGTTTGTGTATGTGTTGTTTCAACTTTGCCCTTTAAATGTTGGGTACTCTTTGTATCCATGGGCTTTTTAAAAATATAACCATATATTCAATGCTCCTGCAAATCATAGCATTATAATAATATTGTTAACAGATACTGCTAATTTTATCTGGTAAATATTATTTACTTTTGTCTCTTCTTATAAGTTCATTTATGTTTGTATGTTGAATGAACTATTTTATATAGGTCACCAATCCCCCGGACAAGCAGGCAGGGGACACAGTTCTTCATGATACCGAGCAGGTTTGTTTTTTTTCTAATTTGGGTTCAATTAATTAGGAAGTAATTTTATTTTTTTCAGTCCCTCGGGTGTTATTTTTTTATAATATTTTCCGTTTAAGAATTTTTTACCCCTCCACCCGCAACTCAAAGGCTAACTGTGGCAAAAGAGAAGCAGGTAACGTAATATTTTACAAGTTAATCGTAGGATATCAGATAATTTTATTTTTGACTCAGTAGATTAATATTTTTGTTCCGTGATTTTTTTCTCCAAGGTCTGAGCAGTTATTCCTGGTAGGAGGAGTAAAATGATGCGTATGTTTTCAAAGAAGTTGGACGGACGTTTTTAGTATGATAAGAAGACAAAAGTCTTGGTTGGACACCCATCATCTATTGAGAAGGATTCAAATATAGCGGTGAACCCTGAAGAACGTTACCAGAATTCTCTGAAGCAGCTCAAGGCTGCCAGGTACTGGACTATCCAAATTGTGTTAATTGGATAACTTGGGCTTATTAGATATATATTGTTTTACCGGACTAACAAAATTGTTGTGGGTTGCAGGACAATTAGCCTAGGTGGTGAAGAGTCCCTTTCTAACAAAGATGTTGTTGATATAATAGAGAGGCAAAAACATCACAATGCGAAGGTATGGTTATCTAATGAATCTGTCACCATTAATGAGTGATTAATTTTTAACATACCTTTGTTTTGTCCTATTTTTTGCAGGTTATGGATGCTTTGATCAGATTTAGCCGTCATCTATTGCGGACCGATAACCTTGATGGGCAGAAACTTCGTGTCGACTTGCTTGATTTGAAGTTTGTGTCATTGATGATTCGTAAATTCTCCAAATTTCCAAGGTTCATGTCCCCACAATTTTCAAATTTCCCGCTGACGTGGTTGGCCAAATTCTAGGGGTCGGAGACATAGGTCGAGCGCTGCTTTTTTCAGAAGCAGATTTTCTTTATGTTCCTTTCAATTTCGATCGGAAACACTGGGTATCGATGTGCATTGATCTGCCTAATGGCAGCATTGTTGTTCTTGATTGTAATACCCAGCTGCGGAAAGACCAATAAATCATAGCCGAACTCCAACCAATTGCCTTAATGCTTCCGTATCTTCTCTCCCAGGCTAGTGTTTTCCAAACGCCCACAGGCCCCTTTGAAATCACACGGCCTTCGTGCATACCTCAGGTTCAATCGCCTTTGGATTCTGGTATAATGGCATATTTTTTGATTCATGCGCACGCCAAAGGTGGTCTCGAGGAATGTGCGGAGGTTAAGGTTGAACAGCTGGAGTTTGAAATTAAGAGGCTTGTCTCCGCCATCATACTAGCTGGTGTTCCTTAGGCATATGTAACTAAGTTTGAATTGTTTAATTTGTTCTTTTCAAGTATACTATTTCCATTTCGTTTCTCATGTCCTATGGATCTTAATGCTAAACATCTTTCCATCGTATCCGTCGTAGGGTTATGGGTGTGGCTTGGTTATGAATAGTATTTAGATTTTCCATGAATTATAAGTTCGCATCTAATAAATACTTTAGCAAGTCACTACCAAGATTAAATTAATGTTTGGGTTGACTTTTGTGTGGAACAGGGATTAGATTTGACGTAAGAGATTCGATAGCATATAATAGCTACGTTAACAGCTAATAAATACGTTAGCAAGTCACAGTGTAGAATAGAGAAAATCATTCGGTTGACTAGGTTGTGGCTTCGGGTATAGATTTAACATATAAGTTAGCACCTAATAAATACTCTAGCAAGTCACTACCAAGATTAAATTAATGCTTGGCTTGACTTTTGTCTGTAGATTAGATTTGACGTAAGAGATTCGTTAGAATATAATAACTACGTTAACAGCTAATAAATACGTTAGCAAGTCACAGCGTATAATAGAGGAAATCATTCGGTTGACTAGGTTGTGTCCAAGAGGAAATCATTTGGTTGACTAGCATATAAATAACATATTTGTTTAGGGTTTAAATTAATGTTTGGGTTGACTTTTGTGTGGACCAGGGATTAGATTAGACGTAAGAGTTTTGATAGCATATAATAACTACGTTAACAGCTAATAAATACGTTAGTAAGTCACAGCGTAAAATGGAGAAAATCACTGGGTTGACTAGGTTGTGGCTTAGGGTATAGATTTAACAAATAAGTTATGATACAAGACTCGGTGGTAAGCTTGTATTAGGATAGATATGATGGCTTCACAAGATGGCAGTCGCTTCTCTCTTGTGAAGGAAAGATGGTCGTTGATGTAGATCTGACACGATGGAGGTCGCTTCTCTCGTGTGGGATCGAATGAAGGGGAAGTGCTGGCGGATTTAATCACACACACAAGACAAAAAACAAGCTTATTCTCTTAAGGACACTTAAAGAGAAGAAGTGTAGAAAGTTCGGTTCTTTATTGATAATCAAGGGTAAAAACTCGTACAACTGCTGCAGGGGAATTTTATAAGATTCCTTCAGCTAGCCCTAAGGCCGAAATAAATGTAAAAATGCAACAAAGAAACAAATAAAACTACAAACACAAATCTATTGTTTTTGGAAAGAAAATAAGTAAAATACTAAAGCACACTTGAAACCTCGTGATGAGCACGTCTTCTAGCCATTGTTGGGGCTTAATGGACATGCAAATATCAAAAATAATGAATAGAACTTACCTCGATGCGATCTAGGCCCAATAGTTGTTCTCTGAACTACGTCTTGTACTACTTCAGGAGTCTTGTCAGGTGCCCGTTTGTTTGTTGGTTTCTTGAAGTAGATGGCTTCTTAGAGTTTCTCTTGGGTAGCTTGATCAATCTCTTGAAGCTCTTCCAAGTCCTTGATGTCTTATTCTTGATCTTAACTCTCTCGATCACTCTCAAAGGTGAAGCTTGTTTTGCTCGTCTCTTGTAACTCCATTGTCTTCTCTTGGATTCTAGAGGTTTCTTTACCTGTCAAAGGAGAATTCATACCTGGGGAAATGGTATGTTCAAGACTCATTTAGGTGAGTGCTTCAGCAAGCTCTTCCTCTGGGATGGGATCATATCCGTCGTGATGGAGTAAAGGTGGTACAGACCAGTTGACGTAGTTCAGCTCTAGTGAGCTCACAATGTCTTGTATAGCTTAGTTGAACCTCTTTCTAAGTTTGTTAGACTTTGAACGAGTCATGGGACCTTCTGGTACGACTGGTACAGGGTGTGGTACAAAATCTGGTACCTGATCTAGTTCAGCGAGTTGGATAGGATAATCGATGTCCGCATCATTTCCTCCCTCTTCAAAAGGTTTTGCCCTCAAAACTGAATCTTTTGCAACATTAAAAGTATGAGAAACTTTTACTTCATTAGGTAGCTTCAAACGGTAAGCATTGTCATTGATCTTCTCGAGGATCCTAAATGGACCGTCGCCTCTTGGTGATAGCTTGGATGCTCTTTGGGTTGGAAACCTCTCATGCCTCATATGTAACCAGACCGAATCTCGTGGTTTAAATAACACTTCCTTTCTTCCGCGATCAGCTTTGCGTTTGTATTCGGCGGCCTTCTTCTCTAAGTTGCCTTTGGCTTTTTCATGCAACTTCTTGATGATTTCTCCTCATCTTAATCCATCTTGACAAGCCTGTTCTATCTAAGGTAAAGGTGCTAAATCTATGGGAGATAAAGGGTTAATTCCATAGACTATCTCGAAGGGAGATAGTTTTGTAGCCGAGTGAACGGCACGATTATAAGCAAACTCAATAAAAGGAATGCAATCAAGCCATGTCGCCATATTCCTACCAAGAGTGGCTCTAAGTAAAGTTGAGAGAGTTCGGTTTACCACTTCTGTTTGTCCATCCGTTTGAGGATGACAAGTTGTAGAGAATAGAAGCTTGATACCTAACTTTCTCCAAAGTGTCTTCCAAAAGTGACTCAGGAACTTGGTGTCACGATCAGAGACTATGGTCCTCGGAATCCCATGGAGGCGCACCACTTCCTTGAAGAACAAATGTGCGGTTTGAGTAGCGTCATTGGTCTTGTCACACTGAATGAAGTGTGCCATCTTGGAGAACCGGTCCACGACGACAAAGAATTAATCTTTGTGTATAATCTTAAGCAATCCTAAGACAAAGTCCATAAAAATATCTACCCAAGGGGCGTTAGGAATAGGTAATGGTAAATAAAGACCATGAGGATGTAACATGGATTTAGTCTTATGGCAAACTATGCATCGAGAACAAAATCTCTTAACGTCCTTCTTGAGATGAGGCCAAAAGAAATGATCCATTACCATGGCCAAAGTTTTGTCAACACCAAAATGACCCATCAACCCTCCACCATGTGTTTCGGTGAGTATTATCTCTCGCATTGAACCTTGAGGGATGCACAACCGCTTGTCTTTGAACAAGAACCCATCTTGCAAGTAGAATGCTTGGTAAGCTCCTTTGCAATGCTCTTTGTAGCACTCTTCTAATTCTGGATCATCCTTGTACAACTCCTTGA